CTCTAGTAGTAGCAGTGAGTCAGCAATAGACCATCCCTTATAAAAACTGAAGCTCAGGTGTAAATCACCTGAATCACTGATTGGTTTACAGTGATCATCTCCTACCTTCCCTGCCTGCCAGAATCAAAAGTAAATCCTCTCTGGAGGAAGAATAGCATCATCAAGATTCTCAAATTATTTCTATTTTTTTATATATGATATTTTGCATTTAATCAACACAATATCAGGCATATCAGGAGACAAGACCACATGACAAAAAATACATACACACATACACACATATTTAAGATAAAAAAAAAAAGACACAGACCTCCCCACCCCAGCTATCCAGCTATTGGAATTATCAGACACAGACTTTAAAATAGCTGACTAATATGTTAAAAAAGATGAATGGCAAGATGTAAAATTTAACAATAGAACTGGATACTAAGTACAAATAATACAACTTAAAACACAATAACCAAAATTAATAAATTAATAGGTTCAATGGAAAATTAGAATAGAAGAAAGTACTAATAATCTGGAAGATAGACAAAAAATGTATTCAGACTGAATCATAAAGAGAAAAAAGATTGGAAAATATAGAAAAAAGTGCAATAATCATAGAGGATAAGGTAAAAATGTCCATCGTATGTGTAATTAGAGTCTTAGAAGAAGAGGTGAAAGAATAGTTGAACAGATATAGGCCAAGAATTTTCCAAATCTAATAAGATATATCAAGTCACAGTATCCACAAATCTAATAAAACATGTCAAACCACAGTATAAGCCATTATATCCCCCAAAATAAATAAAAAAGAAAATGTTACTTAGGTACATCTTAGTAAAGTTTCTGAATACCAAAGATAAAGAAAAATATCTAAAAATTGGAGAAAAAAACAAACATAACCTTTAAAAGACCAACAATATGAGTGACATGTGACTTTTGAGTGGCGACAATGAAAGTCAGATGACAATGAAATGACTTGATCAAATTGCTGAAAGAAAATAACGACTGACCAAGTATTTGATACCCAGTGAAAATATTCTTTAAGGGCCGACCCCGTGGCTCACTCAGGAGAGTGCAGCACTGGGAGCATAGTGGCACTGGGAGCGCCGAGGCCACAGGTTCGGATCCTATATAGGGATGGCTGGTGTGCTCACTGGCTGAGCGCGGTGCGG